GGGGGGGGGGGGGGGCGTCAGAAAATACAATTCTGATTGCTTACCCTTCCTCTATACGGAAACCTTTCAGTGAAAGGCAAGAAATTTATTCGTGGATGAAGAAAAACCAGTTTTAGTGAAATAATGCACAATTCTTATATATTAACTGTGACAAACTTCTGGAAAAGTGTCGTTGCGCATTGTGTTATAAGAAACAGTTTGATAAATTCTGCCAATTTTAGATAAAAATTCAGACAAATTTGACATCGCAAAAACGAAATTCTTAATATTACAACTTGAAATAACCAATGGTGCCTTGGGTTCAATTTTTCTGATTTCAGGTCAGCAGCTTATGTTAGAAAAATAGGTGCTTTTCGTGTCGGTTGTCTTTTATAACATTTACAACAACGCTCTCAATACTAATAGAAGCATGTTAACAAACTATGTGTTTTTATTTAATTTTAATCCAATATTACATAATACTTCATAGGATAATCACCACCAATTTTTTATTTTGTACTATGTTACTACAGACATTCCCAAAACTTAACCAACCCAGGGCTCCATTTCCACGGGAATCCAAACACTGAGCAAGATGTACTTGAAATGTATAAAAATCATCAGTGCAAAGTGCAGAATTGCCCCGACTTGAAAAAGCGTCTGTGTAAAAAGCATCTGTGCAAAATAAATAAATAAATAAATAATAAATAAATAAATAAATAAATAAAAATAATATGTGCAAAAGGCAGATAGTCAATATGTTGACACAACAGAAGTTATATTTCAACTGTCCTCATGTTCAGCCCTGTTTGTATGCCCATGTTACAATAACAGAAATTAAGACAAACAGCACAGGCTTGCCCGACAAACCCACGGAAGAATCTGAAAGAAAAAAAATAGTTAAAAGAAACTTGTATACAGGACATTTGGTGACTAATATACATATGTGCTGCTATGGTAATTTCACGCATCTTGTGTTCAATACGCTCTTCACCCAATCTACGCCCCTCCAACTCCCCCCGCCCCCCAGATTTGGTAAAATGTCGAGAAATTGAATTTGCTGTTGTGACTTGCTTTTGTTTCTAGAAATCAGAGGAATATGTGCTCAATGTATTTCCTTTGATTACATAGTAGGTACTAATACATTTCCTTTGATTACATAGGCTCGAGTCCTACCGGTGGACGATTTGTAAAACAATAATCAGGCAAGAATACCATTTCATTTAAGACAGACAGGCAGACAGACACGGGTATAGATAAGTCATATTTCCCACGGAAGTGAACGTAGCAAATAGCTTACTGTATCCAAACTGGCCTGCGGTAGTTGTAGCAGTGGTTGCGCTGGAGCCGCACGGTGTGTCCTTCCACTGCTCTGTACAGCTTTCTCCCATATATCCTACTTCACAGCTACACTCCACCAAGTTGTTACAAACCTAAAAATAGAGAAAAAAGACGATAGTTTAACTCTAATCATATCCATAGGTGCCGAATTAACTATGGTTTGCTCTTTAGATTCAGACATTTAAGATCTTTAAACACTTTAATCAGCTGGGAAGGAGATAAGTTATAGGTCCTAGCTCATCATGCAAGAGACTTGCCAAACGAAGTAAAATGATGTGTATGGAATTCGAACTTTTAGAATTATAGAACAGAATAACTAATAAATTTGATTAGAATGTAAAGAAATATTATTCAGCGAATATATACATAAATTAGCGCTTATTTGAACATTGTAGAATTCATTGGAAAAAGGTATTTCTATATGTGTGAATTAAACCATAAGCTACCATTATTTACGGGCATTATAAATGTTAGAAACAAACACGTATAATTCATGACGGCTGCCTTAAACACTATAGAATCATGATTAAACTTACGTGTAATCCTTCCGAACATGTATTATTATAGCCTGATAAGATTCGGATTCGGAATCTTATCCGGAAAAAAAGATAAGATTCGGAAAAAAAGTTTAGCACATAGGCCTATTGCTCTGATTCTGTTTCCTTTTTCCTTTTTTCACGCCCCCCCCCCC